CAACCAGGGCAGTGCTACTGACTGAAGTAGTCTTTGGGCCATTCTCAAAGGGGGGATATCAACATGTTCTTTTGCGCAGTAGAATTGTAAATGGGCTGATTTATTAACGTCATGCTCATACTGTGCCGGAACAACATAGGGGGAGCTGCTGCTTTTTCTTTCCTTATCCTTACTATTGTCATTTTTCCTCTACTTCTTTAGTATGTTTGTCACTCTCTTGTGAACTGCTATTTCCCGGGTTCCTTGATGGTCGAAGCAGACTTTGTGCTGTTGAGGCTAGAGAGGTGAGCAGAGTAAGCCTGATTCCCTGTTTGGACTTTTCTGTTGACATCCACCCCGCAGCGCTCATATGACCTTATGCAGTTGCGAGCGCCGAAAATTCTCTATCAAAGAACAACAACCAAACAACTAAACAATCAGTCCCGTGGACAAGCCGGATAAAACCCTTCAGTGTTCAGCTCTGACCTCAGGTTTTTGTGTGAGTCACTGATTTGAGACATCCCCATGTTGTGCTGTTGTGGAAGCGACGTGACGTTTTATCCATTTTTGTTGTTGTTGTTGTTGTTGTCGTTGTTGTTGTTGTTGTTGTTTGTGACTGCAAATGTTTTTGCTTTTGTTGTTTTAGTACGTGCATTACGGCACTTGCAACACAATAAGGTCATAGTATAAGTGCAGAACATTAGAGGTGTTACAAGAGAGTAACAAACACAATAAAGAAGAAGGTGAGATAAAGACGACAGATGTTTGATGGGAAAGAAAAAGCAAACCACACCAGAACACCCGCCAACCACCCACTGCAAATGCTAAACGGCTCGATAAAACAATGTAGACCAGTGAGGTTTCTTCAAATTTGTCAGCACAAATAAAGATTTCCTCATGCGGGAATCGAACTCATACTTTCAGTATTTAGCAGCAAAGAGCCTACACATTACACCACAGACTCCGATGAGAAGTCTTATACCGGATGTCCATATTGTGCTGAATCGGATCGGGTCGAGCCATTTAATGGTGGCTTCAGTGCGCACCACGAACAGACCCTTCCTTTGTTGTGTCAAATTTAACATGAATAGAAAACGTTGGTTGGCATGCGGTATTAAAAAAAAAAACAATCCAGAAATCTTCCGTTAACAACACGATCATTACATTCCAAAATGGCATCAAGTGGCGTCGATGGCCTAGTGGTTAGGCTACCGGCTCGTAATTGTGAGGAAGACAGACGGAGATATTTGACTTGTGCTCTAGTGTGGTTTGCTCCTTCCTTCCTATCAAACATCTATCGTCCTTATCTCTCCTCCTTTGTTGTGTTTGTTACTTTCTTGAAAAACCTCTAATATTCGGCATTTATATGACCTTATTGTGATGCAAGTGCCGTAAAGCTCTTTGTAAAACTAAGAAGATATTCGAGAGAAAAGATTACCCCGCACGGGAACCGAACCACCCATCTACTCATTGCAAGGCATGCACATACACAGACAGACACACACATGCACACACATACACACAAACACATGCACCCCCCC